AGTAGTCAAGATAAAGGATTGTGATTCGGAGCGTACGTTCAATGTGAAAGGGAATCGGTTCAAGCCTTATTGGGGAGATAGTAACGAACTCCAAGTAGCGTTGGTCACTTTTGCTTGAAAATAAAGAAGCAACGTCCGGCTGAAGACTCTAAACTTAGCGCTTCTCGGGAGGCAATCCGAGCTTATTAAGATCCTATGATAATTAAGATCCATTTGTATAAGCATTGAACCAATTTGTTTTTATTAAGTAAGAAAATACTATTCTTTTATTTTTGATATTCTTAATTACCTTTTACATTGTATGTGACTTCTTGTTATTGTATTTTAAAGAGTTTTTTTTTAAGTTTTGAAGAGTCATGTCATTCAATTTTGGTATAAAAGTAAAACTTATGATTCATCATAACATTATTTATTAGGAAAGTGATTCTGAAATTAAGTTTTTTTTTATATTCTATGTTTCTATTTATATTTGTTTTTTCTATCATCATTTGTAAATTAGTTTAATATTTCAAATTATATATTAATATAATATATATATATATATATATATATATATATATATATATAGAGAGAGAGAGAGAGAGATAATAACCGAGTGTCTAATATGTTGTCACCTCTCTTTTAAATTCAATTATTTTTTAAGATTTGTTTTTTCTTTAAATGCATTACTAGTAATTGTACCCGTGCGATGCACGGAACAACAAATTGCATTCTTTTGATGTTGTAAGAATATAAACAAACGTTTGATGTATCGTATGATCAAAATTCTATTATACTGGAACATTATTAAGTATACTACACACAAAAAAAAAAGGACATAACTTTACTGTTGAATAATTTTCCAAATGAATTGAATCAGCTAATACCAGTAGATTGAACATTTGAACCAGGAAAAAAATCATCAATTATGTCTTCCATGTTGAGCTTAAAAGTAATTAGATTTAATAACTAAGTTAACATAATCAAAACTAAACTATCGACAACATACCATCGTAAAAGGCCATCTATACATCTTGCATCGGAACTAAGCCCTTCTCCACTGCCTCATTTTAAGGTTGTTTTGCCACTGGAATTAACAATTGGAAAATTAATAAACAAAAATAAATATAAACAATAAATTAAATATATATCGCATACAAACAATAAGTCTTGAAGGTCGACTTCCAAGAGCTTGTCGCTCCGCCCATTTTTGGTTAATTTTCTCAAATCATCTCTTTCAATAACATGTCCAATAACATATAAAATGAAATAATTGTTATACATAAAATTTGAAAACTTTGGTATAAATTAATGAAACACATGATTTAACAAAATGAAATTACCTATAAGCCATGATGGAAAAAGATGTAAACTAATTGCCACACATGCAATAGGATGAAGAAGAAGATAAGAAACAAAATCTAAAGTCGGGTTACCAAAAGAAGAAGCCTTAGGTAGGGAAGAAATAAAATTCAAATGTTGCAGACATTCTGTAAAACGATGTCACAAAATCCGCTAGGGATGAAAATCAGATTTATTTACCCTTTTCTGTAAAAATCGAAAATCAGATTATTATAAATAATATCTAGGAGAATTTGATGAAAATCGATAATAATATTTAAAATAATATTTCGGAGATAAAAATTTGATAAAAAAATCAAAAAATAATATTTAGGAGATAAAAATCAAAAATAAAATTTAAAATAATAATTAGGAGATAAAAATTTGATAAAAAATCGAAAATAATATTTCAAATAATGTTAATGAGATAAAAGTTGATAAAATATGAAAATAATAATTAGAATAATATTTAGGAGATAAAATATGATTAAAATTAAAATTATTATTTAAAATAATATTTAAGAGATAAAAATTTGATAAAAATCGAAAATAATATTTAGGAGACAATAATCTGATAAAAAACAAAAATAATATTTAGGAGATAAAAAACATGATAAAACTCGAAAAAAATATTTAAAATATTATTTTGGAGATATAAATTTGATAAAATTCGAAAATAATATTTAGGAGATAAAAATTTGCTAAAAGTTGAAAATTATATTTAAAATTATAGTTAGGACTTAGGAGATATAAATGTGATAAAATTAAAAAAATATTATTTATAATAATATTTAGGAGATAAAAATTTGATAAAAAAAAAATATTTAGGAGACAAAAATGTGATAAAAATAAAAAATAATATTTAAAATAATATTTAGGGGATACAAATATGATAAAATTCAAAAATAATATTTAAAATAATATTAAGGAGATAAAAATTTGATAAAAATTGAAAAAAAATTACAAATATGACATTAGGGTTTCTTAGGGTTGCCCTAGCGTTTCTTTCTTTTATATATAAGATTCCTCAAATATTATCTATTTATTTGCTATTATGCTTTTTTTTTTCTTTACTTCCGACGATTCCCTATTTTTCTCGGCCGTCTCCAACCATCCTCTTTTTCTCTCCAATTCCGGTAACACGTACTTTTTTCTCTTTCACAAAAATCGATATCTTCCTCTCTTCCGTTAAAGAGTGATGTAATGTAATTTTGCACGAATATAAAACTTGTGATTAATCATAATATTTTTTTTATTGAGGAAGTGTGTTTTATATTTTAATTTTCTCATTTTCTATCATTATTAATGTATTATTGTAACTATTTGAATGATATCTTTTCATATTAAAATATATATATATAGTTTTTTAAAGAAATTAAGTATAATTTGACTATGATGAACGTCTTATATGATTATTGTCATATGATATTACTTTGGTCATTTGTTAATAATGAAATATTTTATCACAACTATCAAGTGTGTTAATTATAAAGACTATAAACTTTACAAGTACTTTCTGTCTATTAATTAATTTATTATTGAATCTCACTAAATTGTCTTTACAAATTTACCTATGCAAATGGCATTTTTGTCCATACAAAAAAGGAAAAAAACCTCCTATGTATTCATACTTTTATAAGTAGTATAAATATAGATATAGATATAGAAGAAGCGAGCAATAGTATGTCGTAAGAATAATCTATAGGCCGCCCCTCTTCTCGCCCGAACCGTAGCTTACTACTTGTAGATGGGAAATTCGACTCCTCTAAGGATCCGTTCCTTCATGTCAGTCCCACGCGTTCTGGTTCATCCTCCTATTCGCGAACTCTTTCCATTTAGATTATCCTCTTCCTTCAACATGCCCTAGGCCAGCCAGTAACCAAAAAGAAAAAAAAATGCAAAAAGGAGAAAGGAAAAATAAAGGAGGATAAAATATGGGAACCTCAATGTTCGCTCATCAAGGGCAAACACTCACATAAATTCATGCACGACATAGGGATGTCTGCGAGGTACACTCAGTGGCGGATCCAGGATTTGATATAATTGTGGGCTAAACTTAACAGGGGTTCCGGGGCAGTGCCCCTAATTTTTTTTATAAGCTATTCATAAAATACATAAACAAATAAGTAAATGTAATACTCAAAATGTAGTTATTACAGCTCTTTAAACAACGATTGGGTGGGCTAAAAACGAATTGAGTGGACTAATTATATTATACAACATTAAAATAGCATTAAAAGAAATTGAGTGAGGGTGGGTTCAGCCCACCCAACACTACACATAGCTCCGCCCCTGGGTATACTATATTGAGTTCGAGCGAGCATGGTCGGTTCTATGCAGGTATCGGCTTCCCCGTTCAACCTTATTTCGCTTGGATCTCCCAAAAAATACGGGATCACTTTAAATCAGTTCCACCCAATTTCCATTCGTTTCATGTCCGTTTTTTGGTTTGCTCTAACTTGGCAAAACATACAACCAACTGTTGATCGCCTCTTCACATGTTTCCTTGCTAAACGATACTCCCCACAAAGGTTTTACTTGTCTACTCGTGGGAACACTAAATTCATGGACAAGACCCGAATAAATATTGCACCACTCGGATCATTTCTAAATGTATGTGGTTTCTTCCACTCCTTTTGAATTTTCCACCACCATAATTAACGAAACACCTGGTTTTCGTACGCTTTGGTTAAGAGATGAAAGCTCTAATAAATCATCTCCGACCAGGGTGGTTCCATGTGGAAAATCTCACCCGGGATTCGCAAATTTCGACTCACTTTGACTTGAGGTGGTTGAGTCAAGGCAATAAGCGCTAACTTCTCACTCACCTAACTTGTTTTTACTTAATTTATATATTGGAACGTTGACGAACCGTTTCTTCTTGCAAGAATGCAATTCAGCCAGCTTTTCTATGGCAATAGTGGATATCGAGGATTTGGATACTATCGTCATAATCATTAAGCATATGCATGTACCAATGCATCTCATGTATCAAATGAACCTCAATATATACAATTTGGGTCAAATATACCGCGACGTTCCGGCAACACCATGATCCTGATTATAATTTTCAACCACCAACGAAGAACGAATCTCAAACATATCCGAAATAATTTTCATACAATCAACAATTCAATCATTATTTCTATTCACAATCTCAACTATTTTCAGAATTCTCATCCAATCCCACATTTTTGCGGGTTATCTCAACTTCAAAATCAAGGACAATTGCAAAGTACTAGCATATCAAGTAAAAAGAAAACCCAAGGACGAAACCCGAATTGAAATATGGCTAAAGACGGAACTATGTGAGGCTTGGTTAAGCATATCAGAATATGTATAGGTTGGTATGCATCAACGTAGAGATAAATTGTGGGAGATAATTAGAATATAATTTCTACAATACCATGAGTACAGTAGAAATAAGTCCGGACTAACGCACCGATTGTTAGTTGTTCCAACAAGCATCTTAAAGTTTCCTTCATGTGTTAGTACGACATAACGAGACAATCCAGTGGATGCAATGCAGAAGATAATAAAACACGGCAAAAGTAAAATTTGAAAGGTTAGGATAAATTCAAAGTATCAAAGTAAAAAATTAAAAGGGCAAAGTAAAAATTGAAACGACAAACACCTACTTCAATGTATACATACACATAAACACACACAGATGTACTGTATATTGCAAATGATTGAAACATATTTTAATTAATTTTCCAGTCTCTGATATGATTGATGCAAATTAAAGCTAAATAAAGAAGAGTCAACAATTCACAAACAGAACACAAATTCACAGCCCCTTCACTACATCTTGCAATAAAAGTTGTTTGTAATAGTTAGTAACCACAATTTTTTTTACCACTGACTGACTACACATAGTAATAAAAGAGAAGTGGTGCTCTTAATATTGTCGAGATCCGTCGGTTGAAACATCAAAACCCGGAGGGATAAAAACGACATCATCCCATGACGAAGCTGAACTATCCTGCAAATAAACAAAACCAAATATCCCAATTTAAGTTCACTCTCACTCAAAAAGCAAAATCATTATCGACAAATATATTTGATTTCTCTCACCTTCATCCCCTGTATTATTTCCTCAAGAACAGCAACCTAATCACAAGAATTAAAATAAGGCGAATAAATTAAAGAAATAATTAATATTCTCGAGGAAAAAAAAACGAGAAGAAATTGGAAAGTCGACCTGCACATCTCCTTTCCTAAGACTGGGATTCAATTGCTTCTGATCACGTGAAGCTCTTGATAGAGACTTTTCAAGATCCTCCTGTGCATTTCATAAATTCATAAATGTCAAAATAAAATTGACCGATGAGATTGAAATTGCAGAATCGAGATGAGGGATGGAAGTCGTCTTTTTTCCTAACCTTTCGGAAAAAAACAGGGCGATATTGCTTAGTTTGGCTCCTCAAAATCAAGCTTTTCGACTGCAATACATTGTTTTTGGAGGGGGGGATAAGATGATAGGTAAACGGATAAATAAGCTTACAAGTCACTAATTCGGCATTAGCAAATAATGAAGCAAAGAACGTACTGTGGGCTCATTATTTACCACAGTAACATGTGTTTCAAGATCATCGATTCAGATTAGCAAAGCTGAACAATTATGGAACTCGTAAACAACCCATTTCAATTGAGAGAGACGGAAACAGATAGAACTATAAAAAAAAAACAAATTAACTATTTTTCCCATACTACAAATTAGAAGAACCGTTATGTCAGACGACATTTCACAAAGGGGTGTAAAAAATGTCGTATATGAGTGCTGAATTTTTCAACTGCTGCGTGCAAAAGTTAATCTCGGACATTTTGTCGCAACGGAGGATCTTTAATATGGCGAACAAAGGGATAATTAAGGATAAAAGGTACATTTATGAGTAATCAATTGATAGAAAATACCCGAGCCAATTTTTCTCTAATTAGTTTTGTATTCTTTTACTAATACAGCACTCTAAGTGATTCTCCAAGAACAGAAAAATAAAGACAATACAAAGTCGAAGATGAAAGAGAGACGATCCGTTGACTCATTAGAGGTCAACAACAGGACTAAACTATATAATTCTCTCGGATTCACATCTTAGCCAAAAATGATAGATTAAAATTGACCACTCGTGCTTAAATTTGAAACTTTACAGTTGAATTCTTACATATTCCTTTTGCTTAGCTGTCAATGTCACGGGGTTCTAGTTACTTGCTGAAGATGTTTAATTTTTCGGATAAATATTTGATCATGGTCATCATTCATCTCAAACTTAACTCCTTATATTTTCTTTTATTTAGCAATACGGCTGGAAAGTTTGTTCTACTTCTTGAAGAGAGCTGTAGAAATCAGAACCGATGAAGCTCAATTTTGGGCAATTATGGCTTAAATGGTTTCAAAACTGGACATCAGACAAACTAATTGTGGTCGACAAAGATGAAAGATAAACATCGCATGTTGGTTAAACAATCCTATTTGAAAAATTCTGACTATGTAAATCAGAGCAACTCCAACTAAGTGAGTTTCAAATTCCTAAACCACCATTTGATTCCCGAAACTTGAGATTTTTCTCCAAAGGAGCTATTAAAATGGGTTGCATTTCGATGTCTCCTCTATTGCGATGCCAAAATGCATCCTAGACGACGAGGTATCAAACATCCCTTAAAAATTAGCAACCACCATTCCACGTTCAAAAAATCAATAGGAACAGAAATTCTTTCAAAATAACATTTTAAAAATAATAATAAATTCGTTTGATATCTGTGGTTCGTGGTTGGAGTACACTAGTTTTGATAAGAAGATTTGATATTTATGCATTGGAGTTGTTCTTACAAGGCCATTATCAAAATTATAGGAGAGTTACACCATTGCCAATGTATAGGTTATTTTTTGGACAAGGTGTCTTAAGACGAATTTGTGAAAGAAAATGAATCAAGGTAGTTTTTGTTTTTATTTTCGAGGAGACGTTCTTTCCATGAAAGAAATTCTGTTTTTGTATTCTGGGTGAGAGAAATATTGTATATATTTTATCAGGTAAGATTTCGTTTGTTAGTGGTGCCACATCAGCCTTTACCAACGAATAATATTCATAACACTTAAATAAATAGACAATATTTCTTGGAATCACAAGCTCCAGGTTTATATTACGAAGTTGTCGAGAAATTATTTAAGGATTTATTACTAGAACTTTTTCTTTTATATGCAGAAAACTCTACTAATAAAGGATTATTGTTATAGCAGATATTTACTTAATCAGTTGAAACTTGTCGTCCCCGTAATATGATCGATTCTTTATATAAGAGCACACTGAGAATTGTCCCAATTTCAGAAAAAATACAAAGAAGCTCGAAAATCTAAGAAAGGGAACCGAACCTGGAAAACTGGAACACCAGGGAAGCTTTCTTCTCGAATGCCAGCTCTTTCCCTCTCCTGTTCAGGTAAATAAAAAATATATATATAAGCAAGAACGAGCCTTGAATTCCGGATTTTAAGATCACTAGACTTAACAACCATCAAAAATACAAATTACAAGGTTGATGGTAAAAATGAACAAGTTTAGGAATTAACGATACCAAATTATATCATATTTGCTCATCACTTAATTCAAGAACAATCGATTACTGAATATTTGTAAGGTTGTACTGAAAATATTATTAGACTCGAGACTGACCTTCAACGCGTTTTGTATCTGAGAAGCCTCGGGCATCAATCTTAAAGCCACCCCATCAACTTTTAGCTGAAAAATCTGAAAAAATACAATAAAACAGAAATACATCAAAATTGAAGTTCATGATGCAACTATAGCAGATGATAGAAAACATTTCACAAGAAAATCCCCCAAAATGTAACACCTTATTTATTATCTCCTAATATTTATAATACATTTATTTAACACATCAATTTTACACCAAAACCTTGTCAAGCCTACAGCCCAAAAATTCATCACAATCAGTAAAACTGACCAAAGATACAAGTTCCTCCAAATGATCCGAATTTTGTATGTCCGCCAACTGTTTGACAAAATGCCTCAATGAATAGACGCAAGTAGAAACTTACCTTGCTTAGAGCAACAGGAACAACTTTCGAACCAGAACTCATAGTCGGGTCGACAGACTTCATCTGTTCGAGTAGGGTTTCGGCGTCCGCTTCGCTAAAACAGAACAACCCGAGATTTTTGCCCGTATTTGTGCCCGAAAGTAAAACGAATTCCTGCGAACCGTTACTGAGTGCGTATACCGGCACTCCGGCAAGCCGTTCGTCAATAGCTTCAGGTGAAATAGCGTGATTCTTAGGAGTGGCGCTGGATTTGCTGCTAGAAGATAACGTGTTGTTTTCGGTTGAAATGCTGGCAGGGAATGTGGTTTTGAAAGGAGGGTTGCTTTGCAAATTCTGGAAGAAGTTGGAGCAGTGGGTTTGAATGGAATTGACGGCTTGTCGGAGGAAAAGCTGCGGCGGAAATGGTGTTGGCGCCGCCGTTGCAGGCGGTTCTTTGGGTTTAAGGAAATTCATTTTAATTTTTTTTTTCTGATTCTGAGGTTTTATCGACACCGGAGGAAAAGAAAACTGGAGACGGCAGTATATGGGCAAAGAACTGAAAAACCTTTTAATTTTGGGTTTTATTTATTTATTGTTTCCAGAGGGGTGATTATTATCTCCGCTATATATAAAATGGGGAAAATTGGTTACAATTTCCTAAAACATATTTTGTAGTGCTAAATTTTTTTTTTTTCGCTGTTTGTATTGCTAAAATTTTGAATTTGTTAAAAAGTTATGTAGCACGGAAACGTTGACCGTAATTTATTGTTTGGTTAAAATATTTTTTCTCCTAAATTTTTTATTTGTTTTTTTATGGCTGCGTTGAACGTTGATCGTAATTGTACTGAACACAATAATATTATTGTCCACATCAATATTATTATTATTTTTTGCTTCTTTATTTTGTTTGATTTATTGACGAGTTAACATAATAATATTATTGTCAACCATATTAATATTTTTTTTTTAGCATTTTTATTTTGTTTGATTTATTGATCGATTAACGTAATAATATTACTGTCTACTATTATAATATTACTGTAAGCACAGTAATATTACTATGGTTGACGGTAATATTACTGGTTGACACTAATATTACTGTCAACCTACATCAATATTAATTCTTTTGGCTTTTTATTATGTTTGTCTTTGTTGAACAGTTAACATATTAATATTACTCTATTACACACTAATAATGATTTTTGTTGAGTTAATATTAGGTGTCAGGGAGTAATATAACAATATTATTGTGTTAAATAATAATATAGTTAATATTAAAGTGTTAAACATTAATCTTATTAATAAAAGGAAGGTTGTTCTGGTGAAACCCTAGGGTTTTTTTCCCCGCTCATTTTATGGCTACATTTGTCATTTAATTATTTTTTACTTTTATTATTTTATTATATCAATTTTCATTTAAACTAATTAAGTATCTTTTAATGATATATTATTGTGTGATGAATTCTTTTATACCATTTATTTATTTTATTATTATTTTATTTCAATTTTCATTTAAACTAATTTTAATGATATTTTAATTCTAAACTAATTACGATATATTATTGTGTGATGAATTCTTTTATACCATTTATTTTTTTTATTATTTTTTTTATTTCAATTTTCATTTAAACTAATTTTAATGATATTTTAATTCTAAACTAATAACGTTTTTTCAAGGAATTATCCAGATTTTTCTCCCACACCAAATCTACGTATCTTTTATTATTATTAATAAAAGGAAGGTTGTTCTGGTGAAACCCTAGGGTTTTTTTCCCCGCTCATTTTATGGCTACATTTGTCATTTAATTATTTTTACTTTTATTATTTTATTATTTCAATTTTCATTTAAACTAATTAAGTATCTTTTAATGATATATTATTGTGTGATGAATTCTTTTATACCATTTATTTATTTTATTATTATTTTATTTCAATTTTCATTTAAACTAATTTTAATGATATTTTAATTCTAAACTAATTACGATATATTATTGTGTGATGAATTCTTTTATACCATTTATTTTTTTTATTATTTTTTTAATTTCAATTTTCATTTAAACTAATTTTAATGATATTTTAATTCTAAACTAATAACGTTTTTTCAAGGAATTATCCAGATTTTTCTCCCACACCAAATCTACGTATCTTTTATTATTTTATTATTTTCATTTTATTAATAAGATTATTTCAATTTTAATTTAATCTTATCTTATTAATAAAAGTAAGGTTGCTCCTGGCAAACCCTAGAAAATTTTTCCCGCTTATTTGATTGAAATACCCTAGAAAAATTTCCCCCCTAATTTGATAGTTATAATTGTTATTTATTTATTTATTTATTTTTATTATTTTATTTCATTTAATATAATCAAGTTAACAAATCCATTAAATATTCGGATTTTTTGACCATAAATATATGTATTTTATTGATAAAAGTAAGGTTGCTCCTGGTAAATCTTAGAAAATTTGTTCCACTTATTTGATGGTTATAATTGTCATTTATTTATTTATTTTATTATTTTTAATATATCTTATATATAAAAAGAAGATATTTTGACCTATAACCCTAAACCTACATTTAGGGGCATTTTCGAAATTTCAACTTTTAGCCGTTTTTTTTTTCTTTATTTTTTTCGTCCCACTCTGTATAGTACTGCCCACGACTTTGTAACTGCATAACTTCTCCAGCCTAGAAACTTCTCCCTCCACTTCTCATTACTCATTAGTTGCTTCTTTATCGTATAAACACATATCCTTTCACCACTTCCCTGACACATAAACCTCTTTTTTCTGTAACAATGGAGAAAATGGAAAACCCAGAAGCAATCTCACGTACGGTAAGTATTTCTCCTAATATACCGATTAAATTCAATAATTGTGTTTCTTCATTGCTTTGCAGATACCTGATGAACTGGTGGAGCATTACTTTGCAACTACATCACACTATTTTCATTCCACCAACGTAAGATCCTATTTGTCTTTTTCCTTTTTTCATGTTTATTTGTTTGTTTTTACAAATTGTTTGCGTCTAATTTTTCAGTTTAGTTTTCGCAACTTTGCTATGTTAGATTAATGGGTCTGTTCATACATGCTTTATCAATTTCTGCACATTTCGAGAACTCTTCTTTTCAATTTTCGTTTCCGCCGGTCAAACAATGGAAGCTGCCATGGTTTGGATTCTCTTTACGGCTCTTCTTCCATCGCAGCATAGCATCAATACATATTATGGATGGTGCCGTCAAAGACCAATCTCTGCTTCTGGTAATTGTTTATTTGAGAATTCTTGATTACTTGGTATATTATGGATGTAATTTTATATGATTGATTCTTTGTAGTAGTCGTGCAAAAAGTTGTTTTAGTTATTGTAGATCTACTTCTGAATTTCATCTTTTGTAACTATTTATTCGAGTAAAATTGACAATTTCCACACAACTTAGTGGGTCGAGAGGTTGGTTTTGCATTCAAGCTTCATCTTATGAAATTCTTTGCTGCTCTATTTACTTGCATCTTTGCTTTAGCATTTAGTATGTTTATGTCGAAGCTTCAATAGTTCATCTTGCTGTAAGTGAAAACGGAAATAAGAGATGACTAATGGAGCCATTAGATGGTACAATGCTTCATAATTGAACTGCAATGAAATTCTGGGAACCAGTTTTCTTGACGTTATATGTAATGTATTTAAAGTTCCTCTAAAGTTTGGTCTATTGCTTGCGTCATTCCGTTGTTTTTCGAAAAAATCAATTGACGGATATGTAATAGTATGAAAAAAAAATTCTTTCTTTTCCGAAATTGTATATCTGCGAGTATGTAACAGTACAAACTTTTTTTCTTTGCTATTTTGTTTGGGCTTCTGTGTTTAAAGAAATGCAGTCTGTTTTTACGATTTTTTTTTTGGGAATTTCGAAGCTCTGCGAATTTTTGTTCAGTTATGTGTTAAAAAATTAAAGCTTTAGTTTTTTAAAATTGTTGTCCGTTCAAAACGTTTTCTTTTTACAAAGAAATGAAAATCTTTTTCCGATATACTTACATTGGTTTCGGTTAGTTGGCATAATCAATGTTGTTGTTTATATTGGATTCCATCAAGTTCATTGTTTTTGACTTCTTTCCTAACATTTAAATATTTAAGTTTTTGGAGAAAAGCTACTTTGCTCTTTTCTGAAAAATTCTTTAGCATAGACCTGATTCTATGCTATTCTTTTACCAGAAAAATATCTCTGCTCCTCAAAATTCTCAAAATTTTATTTGATTGTTTGCATTATTGTTTTCTTTTCCGAAAAACCTTTGGTGGGTCATTGGGACTATGCGGAAATATCTCTCTCTTCTGCGAAATTTTGTTCTTTTGTTTTTGTTAACAAAATTGCAGTTTATTCTGTAAGTCCGTCTCTTGCGCTTCACTCAAGACAATATTGTTAGCGAAGAAGAATTCTATGTTTTCCCTCATACAACAAGCAAAACAAAAATGAGGAGAACTCTGTTTTAATGTTTTTGAACAAGCGTGACATGTGTTAGCATTATTTTAAGCGCTTTATGTGGCATTTTTTTACTTTTTACTGAATTTTCTACTATCATTGGAATTACCTCGCCTAGCTTTTTAATTTGTTTCATGCATGTTTTTACCATTTATTTGTAGTCGATAAGTTGGAGATGACTGCAATATTGAAGGCTAGGGTTCAAGGAGACAAGTAATCCTCCTATTTGCTTGGGCGGAGGAGGTCAGCATCATGACATTCTTTTATATATATATATATATATATATATATATATATAACTGCAATGTTAGTAATGATGTCTTATAAGATTGAATATCAAGACTTATTATTCTTTCACTTGATTATCCTGATATTTTCTTCACTTGTAGGGAGGGAAGAAAAAAACATGAATGTCTAACAAATGGGTTTTGAGATGTCGAATAGCTCTTCAGGTATACTACTCTCTTAGTACATTGGAATAGGTAACATAATTCCTTTAGGAAAAGAAAACAAGAAATTGATCTTACATGAAATTATCTGTGCAAATTTTATAGTGAATATCCATATTCTTCTCAATCTTTTTTTCGTCCTGACGTCCGCATCCCTTTTTCGTATGAAATCTTTTGCAGTGATATTCAAATTTTTTATTTTCTTTTGTTCGATCTAACCTTTAGGAAAAAAAAACATGTGTGTTAGAGTCTCTCTGTCGGATGCAATTTATGTGTGTTTGTGTTTGGTACATGTAAAGTAGTCAATGCATTGCATTAATCTTTTTACCGCATTTTATAAAAAAAATTGTATATGTTATTTTATTAGTATTTGTTATGGATTTATATATTCTGTCAATCCGAGAAAAAAATTTGAATATCACAAATTTTACTTGCTTTCTTGGATGCTTTCTTAAATAAGAGGCTACAATTTTCTTCATAAGTTCTCATCTTTTTTTTTTCCCCTTTTTCTTCTTCTCGGTTAGCTGTCTGCTACACTATTTGTGTAGAACGTTTGCTGAGATAATTAAGTTTTTTTTTTCGTTTCTCATTGTATGATACACCTTTTGTTTGTCCATCTACAATAGGTTTCGTTTTTTTTTTTTCGTTTTTAGTGTTATCTTATGTATGTCTGAGTAC